GCGTCTCCATGACGACGACGCCCGGCCCGTGCATGATATTAGTACGTGGGCTCATCTCCGGCCGTTTAAACTTTACGCGCAGTGGTGGAGTCCGCGAGCGGGAAATTAAAATCGGCCCGTACCGGAAAGCATTCGGGCCCCGCACGTTGCCGCCGGCCTTGCTCCTCACCCTTGCCCAAAACTCGCTTATAAATATTCGAATAGTTTTTGACACTCAACATTTCCAATGCGTTTGCTCACAAGTTCATCGCCATTACGGCATGCATCTTTTTAAAAAGTTAAGGTTTTTAAATAGATCAGAATTTCGTTTATAAATTGTCTTTAAATTCATCGCATCGAAGATTCTTTATTTAGAAGTACAAGAGTTTCAAGAAAATATCTTTATACAAAATTTTACACTACGTAGGGTGAGGATCCCACATCGGGTGTTCAACAGACTCGAACTAACTTTCCTCGAACAACCACAATTCAGAAAATGATTTCAACTAACATGTAATGCACCATTACTGTAAACCTTCTCATAAGGTTACAATATACAGTCAAAATAAATTAGCACTTAATGCGTAACGACAATTACAGACAATTATAATTATAACAAAGATAAAGCATCAGAACATTACAAAAGGCGTACATACTGACGCCAGTCACATATAACTAAGTATGTGAGCGGCGCAGTGGAGGGACTCCACCCCCCGTATGTAGATACCTACACATTTGCTTTGCTCAAAGACATTGTCGCTTTCAGACACCTCATTAGAGCGTCCCATGTGAGCCTACCCCATCCTCCCGCTGTCGCCCGCCGCCCCTCGCCTCCACACACAAAGGAGAGCGATTCTTTTCCTTAGCTCGCAAACTCTGCTGGATAATTACAGCTATGTACGTACGAAGGATCCCATTTCTTGCCTAATGTCTTTCTTGTCTCGATAAATTTTAGATACGCCGAATCCTTCGCTTTATTTATTTTGGTTTCCCTCTATTCGTTACATGTTCAAGATATTTTATAAGTTTTATTGTCACTGTAAATATTGAAATTTCATTTGAAATTCAAACTACAGATTAATATTTTCTAATTGTTTAAATTATATTCGGACAACTTCCTATCTATGTTATTGACTACATGAAATGTGCAGTTGTTTTGAAAAGAAACTTCGTAAAGTTATTATAATGATTTATGTCCTGTATTCGAAGATTGTTAACCTTTAGGATGGAACTTGAACCGAAAGCCTCAAGTTATGTATTAGTCCGCAGTAAAAGTGAAGTTGGACGACTCATAACCAACCGTCACACAAACTGTTACGTGTCATAAGGCGGCACGCCACTCGTCCAATAAACTATAAAAAAATCCGGGGATAGTAAAACGTTATAAACAACGGGAGCGCGGCTAAAACGTTTTAGTGTTAAGAGTGGGCTCATAAAACGACGACACGCACCCCTCAAATATTAACGATACGCAACTACGAGAAGAAATGACGACAATCAATGTGCCGAGCGGTTCAGCTCGCGGACGCGCTACAAATAATGCCCGGGACGAATTTATACGTGGGCCCGAATTGCTCCGCCTGAATATTTTACTAGGCCACGATCCAGTCCGACGATATTTTTCTATTTCACCGACCATTTTACTATCAATTGCTTAGTTTCCGCTTTAATGTAATTCGCGCGACGATTCCAGATGTTCAGTTTGGAATGCGGCAGGATTACTGAATAGAAAAGGTTCCCACAAACGTATTACGATAACACGCTGGAGCACCACGTGGGCCACTCTACTGTACGTGATTATAAAAAGGAACGATTGTTTTAAATCAATCGCTTAACGTTCTGAAAATAGGCATGATTTTCAATCTTCTGAATTCCACGCTTTCTATATTCAACTTCTATTACTTAAACTTATAGTCTTTATATTACTTGAAACTTTTTTGAATGTAAATCAGATCTCAGAAAAAGTTACAGTTACAGGCAAAACATCTAATAAATTTGAGAGATTTTACTTTTTATTGTGCAGAGTCAGTCGGCTGTCGCGTCAGTCCCGGCCTATTGTCTCTGCTGCATTATGAAGCGTGCGTTCGTGGAGTCCTCAATCGACGTTGCCAGTTATTAAGTTTAGCATTTCGGGAACACAATAACCTTTAAAAGGTGTAAAGGCGCGTCCGGACGAAGTTTAAAATAACTTCTCGGAGGCGGATGGTTTATGGCTTATTGACTGGGCTGACGAGTGCCGCGCGGGGGTTCGCATCTCTCGAGCCGCGAGGATTCCCACTCGATATCTGCGGAGTGCGCGGCGACATCGGAATTATCGGCCGGTGGGAGGCGCGCCGGCGGTCGACGCGATGCTCTTAAAGTAAATGAAATAAGAATGGAGTGAAACAATGAGCATTGTCGGCGCACGTCGGGGCGGCCATTGGCCGGCGCGCGCTGGGCGGGGCGAGAGGCTGCGCGCGCGCACTCCGCACACGCGCACGAATTAAAACAATAAAACGATACTAATAAAACAATGCAAGCGTCGAAGAGCGGCTGCTATCGCACTTAATGGCCGAGCGACGCGTCGCCTCACCGATTTATTGAGAGCTCCCATCCCACCCCGACTTGTCGACGTGATGATTCTATTTCCGTCGCCACATTGTAAACTATACACCAAGGCTACAAGAATCAAACGTTCTGTTCCTACCTTTTATTGCAACGGATTTTTTTTTAAATCTGCTTTTGTAATTAAGAATATCAATGAATTATAACTGTGCGAGATACTTTCAATTACTACAATTCAAATTAAATAAAACAGAAAAGAATATAGTTAAGTACTTTATTCAAAACTCGTTGCCAATTCTTAGAAAATTCGCCCCCAAAACACAAACAATGAAAATGATAATAAACCTTTATAGCATACTACAAAAATGTGACAACAAAAAGAATATTAAAAAAAACATTCATGTAACGTGTCTATTAACTTTCCATTCCATAGTAACTCTGCAAGGCTTTCAAGGAGGAAAACTGCGCGGCTCTGCACGCCCGTAACGAATGTAGTCTCATTTACTAATGTGTCACACACACGCGGTGTTGTTTCACGGGCGGGGTGTTGGGGTCACTGCGGGGTGGGGGAGGGGTGGTCGGTCCCCGGCGGGAGCGGGGTGAGGGGGATGTCCACCCGCAGATGACCAATGACGTCGCGAGAGCGCGCCGACAATGCAACACTAATTAGGGCGCACTGAAATCTCTGCAACATCGAGGAAGGAGAGGGTTTCAGACGCTGAGATTATATTGCAGGGGTTGTTTGTAGGGTCTGTGTTATATAGAGATTATTTAGTTTATATGTAAGTAATACGTA